GAGTTAAAATTTTAAAATGGGTGGCAACCCTCCCCAAAAATAATTCCAACAGTTATCTTTCTTAAAACTCTTTACTTTGATACCAATATTGTAATATTTATTTTATTTTATCAGCGTAATTTAGTTAAACTTTCAAACAGGTGGCAACCCTAATCACACATATTTTCGGCTGTACGCCTTCTTAAAACTCTTCAATTTGCTACCCACATTGCAATATTTCATTCACTTAATCAACTTAACTGAGTTAAAATTTTAAATTAGGTGGCAACCCTCCTTAAAAATATTTCCATCAGTCATCTTTCTTAAACCTCTTTAATTTGATATCCATATTGTAATAATTCATTTATTTTGTCAATATAATTGGGTTCAAAAATTACAAATAGGTGGCAACCCTCCAATTTTTTGCGGTATGATTGGTTCTGGTATTATACCGAACAATACAAAAAAAAAATTATTCAAATCGGTTCAGCCGTTCTCGAGTTTTGACGACCGTGACATACGAACACAACATTTTTATTAATATAGATGTAACTCCTCTATCGATGTATGCAGATGTATTCAAAAGCAGTAATCTGTCAAAGTAAAATTTGCAGATGTTCATGAAAGGTATGAAGCCTTCGGCATAGCCGAAGACAGCGCTGCTCTTACTTGTTTTTTGATTATTTTTGATTATTATTGATTATTTTTTTAATGACAAATAATCATGATTGTTTTTTGATTAATTCTAATTATAATTGATTACTTACTAGTTCCTCGGTTAAAAACACGAATTGAATTAATCATTACGATTACCGAACCCATGTAATCGTTTTGATTAGTAATCGTAATCGAAAGTTAACAGGTCTGCATAAAGCACACTTGTAGCCTTGATGGTAACATTCAAGAGATGTGTTTTCTTACTGAGCCTGAGTTATCCTTATATACTTCGCCTTTTCTGAGAACTCAATTTCTGTCCCTGACGAGGTGGGTCTAGTCAAGTTGATTTTCCTTCTTTTGGTAAATGGGGTAAATGGGACATTGATTGACTTCAGTGGGTTTATTGACAAGCCCCTTTCAGCGCACCAGTATTCAGTAAATATACATACATACATATGTAGTTTGTCACAATTTTGTAGTTCAGTTCAGTTTACATAAACTTCTAGGCACAATTAGGAACAAGGTTGCTAAAATGTTTGGAGATATATATTTTCTATTTTTCGCAAATAACTATTTTGGTTGCGGAACCTACCAAACTCCAATCTAGCCAACCTGGTTGGCAACACTGATAATAACTGAAAAATCCGGACTTTTACTTTTTTATTCCAGTAATAATAGTTAAACTTGAACCAATATTTTTAAGGCCGAAATAAAAGTCATTTCCTAATAATAAACAAACCGCTTATCCAAATTAAACAAATTTGGTACCAAATGAAAGAGGACTAAAATAGCTTTCAAATATAAATATAGAAGTTTAACTGTTATTACTGAACTAACAAATAGATAGATTATTTTATTTCAAATAAAATAAAAGTCCGAAAATAACTTTTTTTTAACGACTTTTATTATGGAAGTGCGGGTCCCTGGCTCTAACCAATTTTTTAAGCCGGCTTTTCGCATTGATTTCGGTACCACAAAAACATGTTTTTTGAACGGGCTTCTTCTGACAATAAAAATCGTTAACCGCGAAGTTTATATTTGATGGAATGGAACAAAAAAAAAATCATAAGGTGCCAAATCTAGACTAAATAACGGATGACCCATCAATTCTTGCTCATTCAAAACAATTTGGTCTATTAAATACATCAAGATGATCGGAATCTCAGTATACGTTGTCCAACCCAAAAGTTTGGGACTTGTACTGAACCCTTTTATGAGTCAACTTATTGGGCCTTAACACAGTGTGTCAAATTATGCAAACGAACAGACAAGCAATCGACTAAAACTGATGCATCAACGATTTTAAGAGTGGCATTGAAATGCTTATTTTTTAATGCCCAACCTATGTTGCCGCGAATCATTTTTATTGGTAGCCAAATTCCTTTAAAAAAAGGGCTATAATAGAGCTAAAAAAAGTCGTTGTGGCTAAAAATTGTAGCTAAAATTGTTTACTTACATATACATATATACATAAGGATACACGCAAACATTTTAAATAAGTAATGCTATAGAAAAACAATGAACTCTGGAAGAAAAGCTAATATTTTGTATAAAAGGGGGAAATATACGACACCAGCTTGCTGGCTGCATCAAGTGATTGTACCATAAGGCCCGAAGCATACAACTTACCAGCATGCTGGTACAATATTTATTTCTTTACAAATGAGGTCGAGGATAGATCGAAATGATTAGAGCCGAAATTTAATAATTTTTCTACCATTTTGTTAAACATTGTTTTTTTTCTTAATTCACAACTGCAATATCGTGAACTTAATCTTCCACAAACACGGCTTTGACTCATATAGTGCAAAAAATTTCCGCCAAAATACTTTTTACTTAGAAAATTGAGCTAATTTCACCACTCACGACACAAGCATGCTGGTACAATCATAAAATTTCAAATAGTTTTCGAAGTCGGACCAGCAGCTGGTACAATCTCACCACAAGAACATACACGGTCAATCGACTTGATGGGTCATTTAACAAATTAAACGGCTCTTAGTTTCCTGAAGTAACATTTAATTTTAAAGCTCACTTTATATTTAAAGGTTGGATTAAAAATAAAGTTGTGTGAAAAGTTAAGCATTTCTATTATCGGTTTTTGACGTATGTATGTTTCTTGGTTGTAAACCAATTTAAACCCGATAAAAAAATGATTTACTTTAGACAAAATCATAAATTTTAATGCAACCTTTAAATATAAAGTGAGCTTCAAAGTTACAGGTTACTTGAGAAAACGTCCCTAAAGGCCATAAACTTATCTATTTTAAACTATAGTTAAATCGTTAATAGATCAGTTACAGTATGTATGTGGTAGCTAAATCTAGCCACCAAAGGCCTAAAACGGCAACACTGTGCCCAGCTTTGCCATTACAGTTTTTGTAATTTAATGTCAAGTGGAAATTCAGCATTAGATAAGAAGTGAAAACAATACTGTTGGTGGGCCAAGTAGAGATTCACAAGCACTTCTGCCTAGAGGTGGAGAAACACCTATATTTGCTACCATCGATGTTTTCGATGTTATACGATCAACCCGGATTGTTGTGAAAAAATAGGGCGTTCAAAGTCAAAATAAAGTTAGTTGTAGCGTTTTTGACAGATAACCCATGTCAGATAAATCATGTCAAAAAGCCGCAAGTAATGTATGTAAGTGAAGTTAAATAAAAGCTTTTAAAAAAGTAAAATTTTTATTCACTGGGATTGACATAAAACTATTACAAATAGATAAAATATTTTTTATTGAAAGTCTTAAAAAATATTTTGATTTTGGTTTAGAAAGGTTATAAACTAGAAACGAAGATTATTTCATTTTACATGCGCAGAGGTGTACAAAAGAAACATCGATAGTCGCCATCAACTACCGATGCATCGATAGTGCCATCGATGTTTTCTCTACCTCTACTTCTGCCTTAATGCATTAAAATTGGATTACGCCCGCGGTGATTAGAAGAAAGTCTTACAGCTTCCTTTACTTTTTATTTGCCAGGACAAACTTCACACAATTGCGTTTACCTGGAGTACCGATGAAAGCGAGATTCATAGCCAAATATGTTTACTGCTACAAAATTTGTTATGTGTAAATATCTTGGCTCTCGGTATGGGTAAAATTAGCGTTAACCCAGGAGAAAAATTAGTAACTGCTTCTGGTGTAACCTAGCAGAAAATCTGTAATTGCTACCTGTGTGTGCAAATGAACTTTTCTGGACTACTTCATGGCTATTTCAGAACCATTTTGGGACCAGTTTGGCCCATTTCGAAACTAATTCAGGACTATTTAAGTAACATTTTGATCATTTTCACACTAGTTCTGTGACATAGCCAAAATTGACCGTTGCTCTGAGAATTTTCCATCAAAACATTTCCTTTGAATGGAAAATGGTCAAAACTCTGTATAAATTGGACGACGAACATGAAAAATGATACTAGTGATTACATTACGCCATGCAACAGACTATTTTTATGTCACCGCATAACTTTGGACCACGTCAACCGATTTCTATAATTATTTTTTAGGAAAGGTGGTCCCATACTAGTTTGGTTTAGATGCGGTCATTGGATTTTGAAGAAATTAACGGTACTCTTAATATTTTATATGAGAATTGAAGTCAGTTTTGTTTTTTGCTTAAAAATTACTTGTTATCGTCTGCTAATCGAATGGTTCAAAATGAAAACCGAATTTCCCAGGCATGAACGACCGAACAGAAAGAGCTTTTCATCATTTTAAAGATTTTAATCAGGCTTGACATTCGACGAAAAGGACAAACAATATTTCTTCCAAGATGTCGAATATTACCGACAAAAGTACACATCAACCGCACACATCTCACACAAAAAAAAATCGCTTAATTATGAGCCGAAACATTTGAGATACATATTGGAGACATAGATAAGAACTCAATATTTATAATATTGCAATTCAATATAGTATATTTTCTTTTTTTCCTGCCCTCCTTCAGAATTTGATGTTATTGCGTGGCCTGATTTTCTAGCCGATTTCAGACTATTTGGAAGCATACGAGAAGGTTTTATGTATATTACCAAAATGTGAAAATTTCAAAACACAATGCTCATTTTTTTCCTTAGTGCAATTGTTATACGATCAGCCCGGAACCACTCGGAACTACAGAATCTTCTTCTTCCCTTTCTTTTTGATTGGCGCTGTAATCATCTAAGCGAATTATCGAATAGCGTTCTAGAAATTGCATGCTTTTTTTCAATCCCAAGCTCACATTTTTTCACGCGGAAACTTTTGAATTCCCGACTGCATAAATTTCAAATAACGCTATGGCCACTGTAATCGACATACATATTCACATATGTATGTATGTACATACATACATATGTATGTGATTACTCGTACTCACGTAGATCGCCATTTGTGAATTGATAGCAGACGCCAAATATGATTAAAACCGTTAGTGTTTTCGACTTCATTAAGGATAAATTTACGTTGGTAGCTGTGTCTTCACTAAATTTATACGGAGTTAGAAACTTTTTCACTATTTCACAACAAAATGTACTACACCATCCAGGGTATCTAACAAAATGAATAATGTGCACGTGTGCGCTATGGATATTATGGATTTATATTAAAATTAAATTTTTATCTGCTGACCCATCACAACCAACCAAGTAAGGGTCTACAAGCCGTTTAATGTATGTGCGTATAAATAAAAACATACATACTTACATATGTGCATATGCCCTGCAGAAAAAAAGTATCAATTGATAAAAATCAACCAAATTATAGTAAGCGTTTTTGCTGGATTTCTATAAATACCTAACTTTTACTTAGCTATGGCAAAACTAACTTTAAGTGAGTTGTAAAGTCGTGCAAGAGTCATGCAGACGCTATCGGGAGTTTGTTTTCTTTAAACAAGCTTCTACTTAAATATCTTCATACAAAAATTACTTATCGAATTAAGGACAAATAAAAGATCGAAATTTTATAATAGTGGTATTCACCAAAGTGAGCAAGTGGTCTGACAGTCTGGCAAAAGAGTAGATCAGCTCAAGCAACGACTGTTGTCAACTGACGTTGTTTGAGCTCATCTGCTCTTTTGCCAGACTGCCAGGCCACCAGCTTAATTTGGCGAATACCGCTATTATTTTGATGATATATCTGATACTCAAATATGGGATCACCTATATAAAAGCATGTAATGTTAAATAAATAAAAATGTATTAAAAAGTTGTACTTATATTTGATGTCCAAAAGTAGTTAGCTACTAGTTAGTTGACATCTAATGCAGAGGAAACCCGTTCTTTTTGTTTTTGAAGCCATTGCCCTTTGAAAGTAGTTTGTTACGGCCGAAGGAAATAAGTAATAAAAAGTTACAACTAGTTGACTGCTGGGTAGTTAAAAGTTAGCTATAAACTATCCCCGTTTCCTGCAGGGTGTGGATACATATGTATCAGACTGGTACCAGACCAGTACATACAATGTATGTTTGTATGTATGTAGATGTTGACTAACTAGAACATTAACAGAACCAGAATCTTAAATTTTTTTGTAGATTTTATGGAAATGTCTTTGTTCTTTGATCGCTTACAATACTGCATACTCAGAATCTAATTAAAAACTCGAAATCTTTACGAAAATTTGTTGAATCTTTTTTTAAATTGCATAAATTTTTAAGGCAGTGGCAATCGATTGTTACATTTGTACAGATTAGTACATTTTTATATTGGGCTATTGGTACAAAATAAAAAAAATGGGATTTTTTTTTTTGTAGTCAAAATATTGGTACAATACAGCGATGTTCGTGATTGGAATAAAGAAAAATATTTGGGTATTTAGACAATTGGGATACGATTTGCACGAAATTTTGGCAAATATCCAATCGTGTGACACTGCCTTTAAACTTGTATTTATATGGATGTTGTTAAAGAATCGACTATAAAAAATCTAACCAAAATTAAATAACAACAAAAATAATATTTTTAAACTCGTGATAATTTGGTGTGGCTATAATTTTTTCGACTACTGTTTAATGTACAAAAAAAAAGATGCGGGTTTTCCGGCGGAATTATCAAACCTAGTATATTTTAAGACTTCTACCAAAATATTCCTGAAAAATATTAAGATTTACGTGAGCTGGACCGGTTTGAAAATATCTCTAAAAATGGAGTTTTTTATGAATAAAAATAGTTTCTTTAAATATTTTTTCGAAAAACCCCCCAGATGACAAAACAGTTTAAGCTTAAAAAATCTACATAAAAATATTAAAAAATTGTATCAACGGAATCATAATAATAAGATTTTTGATGCTGTTTTTTTACTTTTTCAAAAATTTGTGTAAGAAAAACTTGAATAACTGCTCCAAAACTTTACCAATATAGATTTATGAGGTATCAGTGGAAAGGTATTTTCCCAACTTTTTTATTTGTTTGCAACAAAAACTCATTCACGCCCCAAATTTTTCTTTATCAAATACCAACACATCTTAATTCAACATGGAATAACACGCGTTTGTCTTACCCTCCTCTTTCATACTTTGAATAAGCTTATTCGCAAAGAAATTAAAAGGGTGAAAAAATACCGTACCAATGATACCTCATAAGTCTAAATTGATAAGGTTTTGGCTGAAATGTAAACTTCAAGTTTTTCTTAAACCAGTCTTTGAAAAAAGTTCAAAAGCAGTATCGAAAGTCTCATAATTATGATTCCGTAGAAACTTTTTTTAAAATATTTTATGCAAATTTTTAAGCTTAAACTTTTTAGTCATCAGAGGGAATTAAAAAAAAAATATATATTAAAAAAACTTTTTTTAATAAAAAACTAAATTTTTGGAGGTATTTTCAAATCGGTCCAGCTCTCGTAAATCTTAATATTTTTGCGAGATATTTTGGTGGAAGTCTTAAAATATAATAGATTTTATAATTTCAGTGGAAAAACAGTACCGATTTTTTTTTTATGGGGGTGATGCAGTCTACTTTACATAAGTTGACTATGATTACTGGGCCGAGCTATCATAGTAGCACAATGCAACTAAGTGCATTTTAAAATTTTCAGGCAATAGCCTCATGCGATTATCGATTATATTTTTTGTTGTTTGTGTGAAATATTTTATTTTTATCAGCATTTTTCTTTTAATCCAAATATGTTGAAATAAAAGTGAAAATAAAAAAAATAATTTGCCAGAACCCTCTCCTCCATCCGCAACTCGCCCCCCCCCCCCCCCCCCAAAAAAAAATCCTGCTACGGCCCTGTATATATGGATGTAAATGTTCATATCTTAAATCTATAATGAAAAAGTGCTTAAGTCGAAATTATCCCCATCCTCATACCTTGTCGAAGTTTTTCTCAGTTAAGGGATTTTTTTTCGCAACGCACGCATACGTAAAAACTAGGGATGTCAATTCCGGGATCCCGGAAACCCGGTCTTTTTGAGGTCCCGAATATCCCGGGATTAGTCGATTTAAATCCCGGGATTGCTGGAAACAATTTTTTTGTTAGCCAATTAAATTTTTATCACAAATATCCCGCCTCAAGGGCAAAACAAGAATTTTTTGCAACATTGGTTGCGCTCAGTGATCGGACTTCTACCACATTGTGGTAGATCTGCCACTTTTTTGTGCATCTACCACACAAGGTCTGAAATCTATCACATATTCGCGTTTTTGAGTAGTTTTATTTTTGATAGACATAGTTTTCTTAATTTTAAGAGCAAAAATTGTCCAACACTAAATACTTACAGCAAAGCCGAATGGGAGGATAAAATAAACTGCAAAATAGCAAGTTTTTTCAGTAATAAATTTTTCGAGAGGAAACGTGGTTTTATTGTGTTGAATTGCAAAATATATGATTTGTAAAAAGAATTAATTGCGAAAATGTTAAAAAAACGGCGATTTTTGTGCTAGTATTAGAAAATTTCAGTGCATCTAAAGTTTCTAAGGCGTTGTTTACTTTTACTTGAGAATTGTCAAAACCGCCAAATCCCAAGTAGAGGTTTCTTTTAAGTGCCACATTTGTGTTACCTACATCGTGATGTTATAAAAAAGAAAACCTAGCAGCACTCCGCAAGGTTGCAAAAATCTCTCAAAATATGTTTGAAAAATATCTTGATATGGAATATCTTGATATAAAGCAGTTCCTTTACACTGTCAAGGAAAAAATTGCCAAAACTCAACGCAATTTTTAGCAACTTATATCTTGTACTTTATTATACTAAAATTAAATGTTTTTTTTTTTGTAGATTCTAATTAAAATGTTTGCAATTTAGGTGAAACCTTGCAGAATTTTTAAATTTTTGAACAAAGTTTGATCCAGAGCCTGAGATCTACCACATTTCTTTGAAATCGACCACATTTTTTTCTAGATTCTACCACACAAATTTTTTTAAGTCCGATCACGGGTTGCGCTTTACGCGTTTGCAACACCGTTTTAATAAAACTGCCTGAATTTCGGGACAATCCCGGGATCCCGGGATTGTATTTTCAGATCCCGAAAATCCCGGGATCGACAAAACCCCGAAAATTGACATCCCTAGTAAAAACTAGTGATGTGCCGGATATCCGGTAGATATCCGGAATCCGGCTTATCCGGCCTATTTTCTGTTATCCGGCCGGATACTGGTTAAAATCTGGTTTGCATTTCCGCATTACCGGTTAAGAACCCATTTCTGTTACGATACACTAAACACTATTTTCGAGTTCACTGAGAAATGTGGTTCGCAGAGATACTTCATTGCCAGTGTAAACAAATTTGGAAATTTTTTGCGACTTTAATAATAATAGATTGGCGCTTACACATTTGTTAGTGTTTGACCGGGCTTCTCCTCCGCTTTGTGGCGTGCGCATTGATGTTGTCACACAAGGGCAGGGACCTACAGTTTTAGGCCGACTCCGAACGGCGAATTTTATTTTTATGAGAAGCTATTTCCATGGCAGAAATACACTCTGAGGTTTGCGATTGGCTGCCGAGGGGCGATAGCTATTAGAAAAACTTTTTTTTTGTTGGGTTGAACTGTGCTTGAACCCAGGCTAACCGCTACACCACAGCGGCCGTCTATGATTCCACCAAATGAAACGACCTTCTTGTCTAGGTATAAGGGGTATCTATAAATATTTCTCCATTTCTCCATCGTTTGGCTATCCACATCACTACTGGAATCAGTATCAGAGCCGTTGGTGATTTCCTTAAAACATTGCCAAATATCCTGGTCTCGCTGTTCAATAGAAGCTCTCAATAGAATTCGGCCTGTTTCATAGGATTCAACAGGTTTCTCCATGCTAACTGATTTATGGCTCTTATTATGAGTTGCATTCGATCTTCGCTGGTTATCGATGATCGAATGTGAAATTCGTAATATGAGCTATGTAACCATTTTCGTTGAATATCGAATTTTCTGCCGAACAGAATTTTGCTTTCGATGTTGTAGCGAAGGGTTAGGAAATTGTGAAATATATGTGATTTAGCGTTTGTTTTATTGCTTTTTGGTGGCTAGACACCAATTTTTAGTAAAATCATGCAGGTCTAGCGTCGTGAATACTAAACACAAGCTGGAAAGGCTGGTTGCATTCATGAAAGAAAATCCCAGTACTCATTCGGC